GTTGCATATTCCTGAAATTGTTTCTATAGGACTCTTCATCCAAAGCAAAATGTTGTAGAATTCTACGTTTTACATAATCGTAGTCGTTCAATTTCTCTTCAGGCATAGTCTCTAATAGTTTCAAAGGTTCGCCACTAAGGTGTCTTCTGTATACTACTGACCATTCAGTCTCAGGCATATTTGCATGTTTTGCCATACACTCAAAGTTTTGCGTCCATGCCGCTATGGAGTCTCCCTGGCCAAAATATTTAATTAGGCCTTGATATTTTTTGAATGATGGTTCAGTTGCTTTCAATTTAGCTTTTTCCATTTGAATTTCAGCATTTCTGTCCAATTCCAACTCTTTAGCCCTGAGTTCCATTGCCAGTCTTTCCTTCTGTAACTCAACGTTACTCATGGTCTCTTTATCCTTCATTATCATTGTGTGAGATAACTCACGTTCTTTAATGACCATCTGTACTCTATCTCTCTCTGCTTGAGCGGCAATTTCTTTGTCTCTAGCCTCTGCCTGGGCAGCTAATTCCTGTAGTCTCAAAGCAGCCTCCTTATCTTTCAGTTCAGCTTGGGCAGCTAACTGTTTTTCTAAAGTACAAGCTTCTATTTCTTTAGCCTTCTGCATAGCCTCCAGTTCGAGCTTTTTAAACTCTCTCTCGTCTGCCCGATCTAGTCTCTCTCTGAGATCTGTATACTTTTTATCGGCCCATTCCAAAGCCTTTTCTCCAGTCAGCCCATGCTGTCTGGCCATTTCAATAAACTCGGCAAGAGATGACATGGTGTATTCGTGTATAATATCAAGCAAACAAATCAGTACAAAATCAAACCAATACCAAGTATACAACTACAACCACAAACTCACTGCACAATCCTATTGGAGAGGGAGAAAATAAAAATCGCGAATATCCGAACTAGAACCGGACCTATAAATGTAATCTCGAATTAATCCGAGAACTAAACACAAATTTACAGTGTAATATTCAATAAAGAATATCACAAATCACATCATCACAGTAATACGACAACAATTTTAAAGCAATTTGGATGTAGACAGTTCGAAAAATATTGGATCAGGAATCCGAAGAATACTTCTTACAATTGTAGATATGGAGAATGACTGATGTGTGTGCCGCAAAAAAAATTTTTTTTTTTTTTTTCAAAACACGAAAACAACAATAGGACTGATGAGAAAGGATAGCCAAGAACGATAGATAATGAACGGCGCCGATCAACCAACTAGATCGAGAAGGAATCTCACGGACTGGAGAACTGACCAGGACACAAACACCAAAATCAAAACAACAAAAACTTATCTGCACTCCAGTCTGGGAGACATGGCCGCCAAAGAACACGTGGATGTTGATGACACACTTGATGATGACGAGGACGACAGGCCTCGATGACTTCTTGGACTTGCACACCGCAACTTGTAAAACAATCACACTATGTCTATCTGTCTATGTCGTCCTAAATCCCTATCCGTCGTCACGACACAATCCTAACACATACAGTTATTACCTCTAATCACATACAGTCATGTTAAACAACAAACATGTAGACGGACTAACAATAAATTCCCATTTTACCTATCAAAAATATTTACGGAAAAACAAATACCTAACCTTTCCTATCAGCTATTGACTAAGCACGTTGGGTTCCCACAAAATCCACGGTAAGAGCTCCCCACTTTCCTGTCAGAAACCTAACTGTCTAGGGCTCGATTCCATTGGCTCTGCTATAGGCTAATGACAGGAAAACACCGTACAAACACACTCAAGCCAAACACTTGTTGCAACACACACACAATCTTTATTACCAAAGATGCAAACGAAGTGGTGGTACACCTCAGGAGGAGTAGCGCTCCTTATTCAAAACCCAGGCCGCGTCTAACTTTTAAAATCGCTTAGAGGCGCCTTTACACGTTTATGAACTAAGCTCTGAGCCGCTACCACTCTCCCGTACAGTGCCAGCTCAACCCGCTATATCTCGATGCCAAAGACGTTATGGCATGCGCCAATGTGTAGGCCTAAGTGCGTCGACAGTGTTAACGCCACCAGCAAAGCATGGTCTGGCTTCTAGTTACAACTATTACTTTACATGAAACTATGAACAGAACACGTTACATCTAATCACTACGCTGGTACCTATCTTCATGTCAAAAACAAACGGTCAGTCAAAAATCCACTCTCGTCCCACGTCCAGTTTCCTAGCAGTCCCCCAAGCAAGCGTTCAGCGTCCGGTCCAAAATGTGCACACCCGTGCGAAGTCCGCTCATGCTCGTTTCTACGTGTGTATGCACGTATTGAGTGTCACTAAGGGTCGCAGGGTACGATGTTTGGTTCATATGATGAGGGGGAGAATATGGAAAATATTATGACGACCGCAAAGATCAACAGTAGAAGACTGAGAGGAAGACCAAGTGAGACGATGACGGGTGGATTGCGACGGTGAAACGGAGGGTTTATTATCAGTGGAACTGATCCAGAGAACGAGGGACAGAGATCTATGAAGATGCATGAACGACTATGCCAGTCAGCAGGACACGTAACCATAATGAGGATGAATTTAAAAATTTAAACAAATATAACTTTTTTATTACCATCTCCCCATTAGGGGTTGCATTAGTCTTGTGACTTGATGCTCGCCTGTGGATCTGAAGGTCATGAGTTCAAACCAGAAATGAACTATACCTTGTTTTTTTAAATGACTTTGACCCCCATGTCTACCCATCCTTTAATGGGTACCAGGTAAATTCCTGAGAGGTAAAGACGGCCGATGTGGTGGTGCTGACCATATCACCCACCAAGTGCCAATTGGTCTATAAAATATAGGTCTAGCTTTATATGTGCAGTAGGCCTTATGGCGGGGAAGAGAGTCCTTCATTTTTACATCTCCACAATTAAAGGTTGGCTTTTGGACAAGTAAAAGGTAAGACCCCAATCTCTTCCTTGGTGCAGTTTTCATGCTACCATCTTAATGCTTTGCGAAAGTCATCTTTTTCTAAACCATCAGCAAGTGGATGTATACCTTGTAGTTAGCGTCCTTTGGATATTTTCTCCAGGTGATACTGGTGTGTTGGGAAATGAGCAGGCAGAAAGGGTGGCTGGTTCTGCACCACTTGATGTTAAATTGATGTTGTGAGGGCCCTTTGGGAGCGAGTGAACAGTGCGGAGGCTCAATTAGATCATTACAGTCTGAGGAGAATAACGCTGCGAGGAGTTACCAGGGGATCTGGCGGATGCTCAACACTCAAGGGAAAGGAGAGATGGATCTACATGTTACTGGTACCATCAAAATTGGAACTCTTCGCTTGCTGCTGCAGAGGAGGAGGATGGAGCACTTCTGGGGGTGTCCCAAAAGCTGTGATGTTGATTCCTAATTCAACATTCAACATAAACCATCAGCAGTACAAGCGGAAACCTGTTATTGTTGAGGATTGGATTGTTCAATGGTTTTACTAACCTCTAAGTCAGTGTTTCACAAACTTTTCTTGGTCACAGCCCCTTTTTTTTCTCAATTAAAATTTTTCCATGGTGCCCTAACCTAAGTAAAAGTATGACTATTTGTGTCTTTGTTAAATTAATTATGAAGCTTTTACAATATTTTGAGGCGCCCCTGTGAAGAGGTCGCGGCTCCCCGGCGCACAGTTTGGGAATCACTGCTCTAAGTGATGGAACTGCATCCTCTACTGACAGTCCTTCTAGATTAACTACATACCATGACAGAGTGAAAGATATTACTCTAGTAACTGGGTTAGGTGGGAACCCCCTTGGTGTTCGCCTGCGGATCAGAATGTCATAAGTTCGGGTCCTGACGGAAACAGACTTTTTCAAAAATGACCTTGGTTCCCAGGTCGACCCAGCCTTGAGTGGATAGCAGGAACAGTCCTGGGAAGTAAAGGTGTGATGTTGACCACATCACCCACTGAGTGCCGATTGGTCTGTAAAGTATAGGTGTAGCCATATATGCCCAATATGCCCAAAGGCATAGAAAAGGGTCCTCTTTAAATTAAAAAAAAAAATCTAGTCAGTTATTTAATTCGTAGCTAACAAATAAAAATCATCACTAAATACTGAATTGTTAAATGTAACTGTTTGAATTCCCTTTGAGTCTATCCCTCAGTGTTTAGTGACTTACAACAACTTTGTGTTGGGTTTCTTGTTGCTCCTTGTCTACCTACAAGTACTCTTGTCTGGATTCACCCATGCAGGTTTAATATTCTTTAGCAGTTTGTCAAGGTTGCATTTTCACAGTAATCATATGATTTGCTTCATTGCTCTGCCTCTTTGAGAGCGTTTGGTTTATCAGCTTAGTTAATTGCTCATCAGCTTTACACAGTAAGCCTGCCAGCAGGCCTGTCAGGTTGTTCCTTTCCACTTACAGTAGCATTGTACTGGTGTAAATGTATACCAATGTATCTGCTACCAGAGTCCCAACAGACTGAGATGCAGGGATTTTGTGATCTCTCAAGATGGTATTACAGATCTACCTGTTCAACATCTGAAGTATACAACCAAAACTGCTGTTGACGTTCAGACCTTACAGATAGATCACAGATATGATAGATACAACAGAATGAAGACAATATTGTTTTTACTGATTTATTGTCAGTTCTGTAAGTTATCATACTGGCACACCCCTCCATAAAAAAGTATTCCTCCGTTGGTTTAAGGCATTACATTTTTAACAGAATCATGCAGTGTCTAGACAGTAAATAAAGCAATAGGATTCCATTTACCTACACACAGTCATACATTTACACAAACATAGACACTCACACTGTTAGACACAGAGGTAGAGACGGACATAAACAGTCACTGACAGACACTCATATTTACACACACACACACATTTACACACACACACACACACACCACACACACAGTGGCACAGACAGACATTATGAGGCACAGACAGACACACACACAGGCACGTATACACACAGACACACACATATCTAATAAGTAGCATTGAACTAGAATACTCTTTCATTTACTACCTCACAGTGCTCAAGATGTGGGAAACCCTTCTCAATGTCTCAGCTAGAAAGTTTCAGGGATATAACTGTGTGTGTCTTCTGCCGACTGACCAACCCCTCAAAATCCTGGCTGACCATCAGTGACCCATAAGGATTCCATTCTTCATTATCTCATTTAACAAGACCAGTCCACAAGCATATCCTTGTGATACTCCATAGATTTTTTGATTTTGATGAATGTACTGCTGAATGTTCATTTGGTTTAGAAACCTGAATAAAGTTGGATATGATTGTAACTGGTTCTGTTTCAAAGGGAAGTATGTTTCAACGTTTGTAATGCCAAGTAAACTCATAAAGATGGATTGATCTCAAATACTGAGGAGGTATATTGGTTTTCAGCATGTGTATAACACATTTGCTTCTCTTTTTGTACAGTTACCTCTGCTACCCCTCTCTCTCTCTGTCTCTGTCTCTCTCTGTATCTCTATCTCTGTCTCTCTGTCTCTCCATCTGTGTCTCTCTTTGACACTTTGTCTGTCTCTCTCTGTCACTCTCTGTGTCTGTCTCTCTCTCTCCATCTCTCTCTGTCTTTCTGTGTCTGACTCTCTCTGTCTCTCTCTCTGTATTTCTGTGTCTGTCTCTCTCTCTTTCTGTGTGTCTCTCTCTCCGACTCTCTCTGTCTCTCTGTGTCTGTCTCTCTCTGTCACTCTGTATCTGTCTCTCTGTATCTATCTCTCTTTCCATCTCTCTCTGACTCTCACTTTGTCTCTCTCTGAGTCTGTCTCTCTCTGTCTGTCTCTCTCTGTCTTCGCTCCCTCCTCCCATTTTTTGGGGATCTCGAAGGAAAATAGTTTTAATACGCAAATCAGGAAAGTTATCCTTGTTTAATTCCCACTTTCTTTTGCCTCCAACTGTACCAGAAATATGTGTATGTATTTATTCCATTTGGGAACATGCTAACTTATAAACAAAACCAGCCCCAGACAGTCTGAACTTTGACCTATTTAAACCTAAAGTTTTCCTTGGGGATTCTGTGGCCCCGTTTTAGGGAAAAGAAGAATAAGTCACCTGCCACGTTAGAAGCATGTAATAAAAGGCGACTTATTATGGGTTTATTGAAGCAAAGATGGTCAGTTTAATCTTGACCACATTATCTGGTGTGTGCTGCTTGGTCTCTACTACAGTTATGTGTCAGATATTATACGCCTAATGCCTGAGTGGTCTGTACAGGGTCTGTTTACCTCTGGAAGAAGAATCCACTGACACAACCCTAGACAGAACAGTAAAATCATTTTAGGCTTGGGACTAAGTAGCTGGTAGAGTTTTACGAAACAGACCAGTGACTTATTGTTTCAAAAATACGCAGGCTAAGGAAATGAAATGCAGTTAATTAATACATACTGTTATCTGTTAGTCTCTTCATGCTATCATCATGTTTGGCCACTTCACTGTCAAGAGTCTGTAATTCTCTTGAGAGCTACCATGTCTATACAATTTGCTCTAACTCACTTAAGGGATCTAACATCCAACACAGCTTCACCTATTATTTTTTGTAGTTACGGCCCTCATATGTCATATTTTTGGGGGTGCTAATATTCATTTCCTGTGATCACGTCACACTCATGTCAGAGTTTTAACCTACATTGTTCACTTCTCAATTTTTCATCCTGATAAGGGAAAGCTTACTAATTCTACTTTTCGTTTGTTTGTTTGATATCCTATCATCATACCGTCATGTTATCCTGTCAACATGTATTGTTCTGCGCTTGTTAAAAAACACAAATATTAGTGTCGTTTTCAAGTTTTTAATGTTGTCAGAATATTTGACCTTTTTATCCTGCCCTCCTCACCTTTGTTTCATCTCCCTTCCATCTGTGTTTCTTTCAACAACTCTATTTTCACATATAAAGCACTGTCCTTGTTAATTTCGTCTGTTCGGTTTATGGTAAATGACCTCTTGTATATAGCGTCATTTGCTTGATTCCAAACATGTGTAAGAAAGAATCCATCTCTTCTAAAGAACGTCATTTGCTTGATTCCAAACATGTAGTAAAGAACCCAGCTCTTGTATAGAACGTCCTTTGCTTGATTCTAGACATTTAGGAAAGAACCCATCTCTGCTACACGACGTCATTTACTTGATTCCGAATATGAAGGAAAGAACCCATCTCTTCTACCAGACGTCATTTGCTTGATTCCAGACATATAGAAAAGAACCCATCTCTTTTATGCAACGTCTTTTGCTTGATAAGAGACGCGTAGGAAAGAACACAGCTCTTCTATACAGCCTCATTTGTTTGATTCCAGACAGGTAGTAAATAACCCATCTCTTCTATAAGACGTCATCTGATTTATTCCAGACATGTAGAAAATAACCCATCATTTCTACAGAACGTCATTTGCTTGATTCCAAACATGTAGGAGCGAACCCAGCTCTTCTATATAACGCCATTTAAGTTATTTCAAACATGTAGGAAAGAACCCATCTCTTCTATAGAACGTAATTTGCTTGATCCCAGACATGTAGTAAAAAACCCATCTCTTCTTTAGAACGTCATTTGCTTGATCCCAGACATGTAGTAAAGAACCCATCTCTTCTATAGGACGTCATTTGATTTATTCCTGACATGTAGGAAAGAACCCGTCTCTTTTATTTATAGGACGTTATTTGCTTGATTTCAAAAATGTTTGAAAGAGGGCTGCTGTCTAAATATTTTACTGTAAATCATTTATGGTTAGTCACGACAGTTTGTTGGTGATGCTGGTAACACGGATGATAATGATGAAAATAGTAGTGATGATATTGGCGAAGTGACTGACAAATCGCTCGGTTTAGATATTGAGATCCCTAAATAATTTATTGCCAAAGACAAAACAGACATGATCGTTGCGACCAACTATGCGTACATGAAATATGGATGGAAGCGACAGTGGAGCTGCAATCGACATTTACTCTGACATAAATAATGTTGAGTACCATACGAGCTGGTGCCTGGCTGTTTAACTGATCAATACTGTTGCCTTTCATCATATCGTTGTATTTTTTATGATCGTATGAGAGAGAGAGAGAGAGAGAGAGAGAGGGAGAGAGAGAGAAAGAGTGAGAGAGAGAGAGGAGTGGCCTCAAATTGATATATAGAGAATAACAGGCTATTACACACAGACGGAAAGAGGAAGAGAGAGATAGAGAGGCTAACATTAATAAACAGAGAAGGACAGACTGATGGAAATAGAAGGGTGAGAGAAAAACTCTGAGTGATATACAGGCTAATAAACAGAGATGTGTGTTGGGAGGGGGGAAGGGGGAGATAAACTCAGACTTTTATACAAAAAATTACAGGCTGACAGACATAGAGAGAGAGAGAGAGACTCAAACTGATATACAGAAAATGGCAGGCTGGCAGAGAGGGAGGGAGAGAGATTCATACTGGTGTGTGTGTGTGTATATATATATAAATATATATATATAATGACAGACTAATACAGTGAACTAGAGAGAGAGAGAGATGGTGTGGGTTGGGGGGGGGGGGAGGGACCAAACTGATACAGAGTGAATGGCTGGCTGATAAACAGATATATATATATATATATATATATTATATATATATATATATATATATATATATATATATATATATATATATATAGAGAGAGAGAGAGAGAGAGAGAGAGAGTAGTAACGGCAAATGGCAAAAAAGAAAACAGAGAAAGACAGAGGAAAAAAGCAGCATTGGTGAGAAACAAATGTCAATACAGAAGTGTATGTTTCTGTTTAGTTTAATACGGCACTGGTGCTCCCATATATGTGTCATTTAAAATATAAACAAAAATAAACCCTAAGTAAAAAATTGTATTCATCGAAATAGATCAAAATTTACAGTAAGATGGAAAATAATGTCTACGTTTGAATACTTCTACTTTATTTATATTTGAAAATTTGCTCCTATTTTTTTTTTTTTTTTTTTTGTATTGTAAAGTGCTAAGGCGTTGCGAGTCCGACTCGTGAGCCAGCATTCCGCGATCGAAACCCACTGCGTGGATTTTTGTCGTGGTATGGGACGTCGCAGGTCGACCCAGCCTAAAATGGGTACCAGGATGGGCTGTCCTGGGAAAGTAAAGACAGCCGGCGTAATGCTGACCACATTACCCACAGAGTGCTGATGGTCTGTAAAAATATGGGACGCTCTGCCCATGTGCCCGATGCGCCGAAAGGCGTGAAAAAAGGGATCTGTACTTTTTTTTTTTTTTTTACATTGTCCAGAGGGTCGACATCTGTGGCTTAGGCGTTGCGAACGCGCTTATAAATGAATGGATACCGGCTTCGATTCCAGTTGCGGGCCTTGCGCCTTTCATTGGTTTCGGAAGTGGCATCGAAAAGCCGACCGTCCAGAAGGCAATGGCAAACTACTAGGCATAAATTTGCCTAGAAAAAAAACCCACAACACCCCCCCAAAAATGCTGGGGAAGGTTTTGCAACATCCTGTAAAGGATACGCAACTAACTTTGATCAGATTCTCAAAACTGTATTTATTTAAGACATCTGCTTCTATGCTTAACAGTGATAAGGCATTTGACCTGCCTTGTTAAGTTGTTGTTCTGGTGTGATTTGTTGTTTTAAGTAATATACTTCAGCCGATGCCATTATGATCCGTTTGTGCCTCCGCACGGTCCACTCTCCCCCAGAGGGCCCTCACGACATTTAACTTGTTATAGATCAATTCACCACCAAATGGCGCAGAACCGGCCAGTCTATCTGCCTGCTCGTTCCCTAACACACCATAATACCCAGGAGAAAAATATCCAAAGGACGCTATCTAGCCGGGACCTCTGAAGCGATGCTTGCCACTCTGCACGGAACATGTCTGATTCCACTTTTCTCAACATACTCTGTGAGCCGGTTAGAATGAGTAAAGCAGGATACTCTGCATGCGCTGTTGAAGAACAAGAGGCAATCTAAGTCTTTCTATTTGGAAGCTAGATTAGTTATACTTCTGGGCTGGGTGGCTACTCTGTGAATCGGGAGCCGCCGTAATGTAGCGGCTAGACGCTTGGCTTCGGATAGGAAGTTCGTGGGTTCGGGTCCTGACGGGGACCGGACTTTTTTCAAAAAAGACCTTGGCTCCCAGGTCGACCCAGCCTTGAGTGGGTACC